GCCGAGTCCCACGTACAGCAACTAGAAGGATGTGAACCTATGACGTACAACTATCTACTGGGGCTTTGGGGGGAAAAAACTGAATAAATAAAATCTTAAAAAAAAAAAAAAATAAATATATAATTTCAATCTTTTAAAATTTGTTAAGACTTGTTTTGTGGTTTAGCATGGGATCTATCCTGGAAAATGTTCTTTGTGCATTTGAGAAGATTGTATATTCTGCTGTCGTTGGGTGGAGTGTTCTGTGTATGTCTGTTAGGTCCAGTTGGTCTAGTGTTGTTCCAAGTCTTCTGTTTCCTTATTGATCTTCTGTCTGGTTGTTCTATCCTTTCTTGAAAGTGGAGTATTGAAGTCTCCTATTACTATTATGTTGCTGTCTATTTCTCCTTTCAATAGTCAGTGTTTGCTTCCTAGATTTAGGAGCTCTGGTGTTTGGAACATTATAATTGTTATACTTCTTGGTGAATTAGCCCTTTTATCATTATATAATCTCCTTCTTTGTCTTTTACAATAGCTTTTGACTTAAAGTCTATTTTGTCTGATATTAGTATAGCCACAGCTCTCATACTATTTCATCCTCATTGAAACTTGGAGCCATTAGTGTCCTGGTATTTCAGATAGGGGAATTGAAGCACTAGCTTTTCCCAGACTCTATAACAAGTTAGCGTTGAAACCAAACCACAACACGGTTCTCCTAGTTTCCAACCAAAATTTGTGTAATGTTTCTATCCTATTTGCCCAGCTTTTGAACTATGAGCTGTAATTGCTTTTCAATTGGTAGAAGGTTATCTATATGTTTGTGGCCTAATCTGCTCTCTCATGGCCATTGTCTGCATGTTATTTTGGATTTTTTAAACTATATAGTTCATTCCTTGGAAAAAGCTGTATCATCGATACCTGATGAACGAAGAACAAGCTGTCAGCAAAGTGGATGGCATCCTGTTGAACTACGGCATCGAGAAGGAGTCCGAGTTGTGTGTGCTGAACCTCATCCGGTGAGTTGCTTCTCTCCTGGGAGGAAGAAGTTTCTGAAGTCCTTTCACTTATGTTATCACTTATGATCATTTTTCTCGTGGACTCTGCTGTGAATGTCTTACAGCTATACAGCCACCACTAAATGCTCCCCAAGTGTGGATCCTGGAAGGGCGTTGTGGAGTCTGAGGGATCATCTCCTCCTCCCTGAGGCCGAGGCGTGCGTGCGTCAGTACCTCCCTGATCTCTATGTCGCTGCTGCGGTACGTGGCTGTGTGGAGTTGTTGGGGAGGCCGCGCCTTTTCTCATTGGGAGAAAGCGTATTAGTGATTACGTTCAGCTGAAGGTTATTTTAGATTTATTTTCAAAATCTTCGAGGCCTTAATCTTGTCATTGGTCCCACTAGAGAAATAAAAGACCTCATTGTTATAGATTCTTAACTTTGGAAGGAATTTTAAAAAGCATTTAGTCCAATTTCCCATTCTGTTGAGGAATTCTCGACAGAGGATGGTCATCTAACCTCTGAGCACTTTGATTAATAATGATTTCTTTACAAGGCAGCACATTCCATTGTTGACAATTTGGGTTATTTGAAAGGACAAGAGGAATTAAGGGTCTTGCTACAGATACACAATGAGTTAATGAGAAGCTAGAAATAGTCCTCAATTTCCTGACTCAGTCTTGTGGCTCCTTATTTAGTTCAGGGATTCTCAGATTTTATATTGGAAGCTACATGCACCCTCAGCTTGTATTCTGCAACCAGTAGAGGGTTGAAAGCCAGCCATGTGCGTTTCTCTTTCTGTCTTTAGTGAGGTGATTGTTGATGATGGTGGAGTGAGTTTTCTTTCACAAGACGGTTGTAGTGAGAGGTGCATGGAACTTTCCTTTCTTGGAATGCATTTTTTTTTTTTTTTATTGATGTTTTAATGGTTTCTAACATTGTGAAATTTTGGGTTGTACATTTTCGTTTGTCCATCACCACATATATGACTCCCTTCACCCCTTGTGCCCACTCCCCGCCCCCACTGCCCTGGTAACCACAGTCCAGTTTTCTCTGTCCATGTGTTGGTTTATATTCCACATATGAGTGAGATCATACAGTGTTTGTCTTTCTCTTTCTGGCTTATTTCACTTAACATAATACGCTCCAGGCCCATCCATGTTGTTGCAAACGGGACGATTTTGTCTTTTTTTATGGCTGAGTAGTATCTTGGAATGCATTTTTTAACAGGAAGACTTGTAGTAAAGTTAAGAATGATAACGATATATGTCCATTATTGACTATTTATATGTTAGTGAACATTTTCTTAGACATTACTAAATGGAACATACTGTGTCCATAATAATAATTTTTCAATAATTTAATATTTATTTCACTTAATATTTAATGATTATTAAATAATAGTAACGTAAAGTAAATAGTAAATTAACATGTTAATGCCAGGAATTGTAAGTCTTGATTTCCCCCCCTAAAGACTACTTACTGTCTTCTTTTGTATCTCCCTCTTTCATCCTCCCAGGTAGGCACCATCTAATATGAGCTTGTTTTGACTCTGTTGAGTATCTGTGGCACTGAGGGCTCACACTGACCTGGAGAGGGGAGGGGTGGGGAGGTGAGAGTATCATCTTCATGCAAGGTCCTGTGTTAGGTACTTCATCAATGTTATTTAATTAAAAAAAACTAAGAGCTCAGATGCCAAAGTGCTAAGAAGAAAGGACCCCAGGGCCAAAGAAAAGGTTCCTCTTGTTTCCCAGATGTCAGGTGGGAAGTTTGCACCGAGTTCAGACGATCTGTAGATGAGACCCAGACCCCAAAGTTGGCTTTCTTCACTGCTTGTCTGATGTGATCTTTATAATTGTGTTTTGGGTCTTTTCTCCCCTCCCTGGTCCACGCCCCTCCACAGGGGGTCAACGTGTGGGCTCTGGTGGCAGCCATTGTCCTCCTCTCCAGCAGTGTGAATGACATCCAGCAGCTGCTCTTCTGCCTCAGGAGGCCCAGCTCCACCGTGACCATGCCAGACGTCACTGAGACCTTATACTGCATCGCTGTGCTCCTCTACGCCATGAGGGAGAAGGGAATTAACATCAGCAATCGGTAAAGCGGTGGGGGAGAGAGTGGAGACACTCATAGAGTGAAAGTTCCTTAATTTGCTACAGTCCCAGCTCTGCCGCTTACCAGGTTTCACATCAGGGGCCATAACACTCCCACTGCTTTGCCCCGTTTCTTTATCTGTAAAATGAAGGTAATGTGAGGCTTAAGTGGTAGTGGGGCTGGTAAGAGTGCTCTGCGATACAAATATAAAGTGCTCTACAACTATAAAACATCCCTGAGGCAGTCTTTAGTCCATCACTAAAGGACTTCCTTTAGTGAGGAAGTCCCCTCACTAAAAGAAGTCTGTTTATTCATACGTGTGCATTTCCCTAGGAAAACATTTGGATTTGGTTCCTCCATTTCTCACTTTTTGGGGATAGGATGTAAGGATTGTGCTTAAGTCTTGTCTGCCTTATCGTCTTAGTGTGAGAAAGGCTATAGCATGTGGGTTGCTAATTCAGAGCGACCTTAATGGTTTCACTCACCAGCAGATATGCACAGGTCAGGTTTGAGAACGATGTGTACATTCCGCAAACTTTTGAGCGCCTGCTCCACGTCAGATGCTCTTGCAGGCACTAGGGATGCCACTGTGAGAGAGCCAGACAATATTCTGCTCTCGTGAACTGTATGTTCGAGTGAGGGGAGACGGATATTGCCTAAGTAAGTGTGTTAAACAAGAACATTTTAGTGAGTGATAAGTGGTGCAAGAAAATGAGCAGTGTGGTGGGTGAGAGAGGTGGGAAGCACTACCTTAGATTGGGCGAGAGAAAGCTGCTCTGAGGAAGTAACATCTGAATTGAAACCTGAATGTCAAGGAGGAGCTGGCCATTTCAAGATTTGGGGGGAGAGCATTTGAATAGGTAATTTAAAGGCCCAAAGACAGGAATGAATTTGGTATATACAAGGAACAGAAGTCTGTTGTGGCAAGAACGTAGTGAATAAGAGGGAGACTGGTATATGATTTCGAGAGGTTGACAACGACCAGATGAAGAAAGACGTTGTAGGCCCTGTAAGAAGTTAGACTGAACTCCAAGGTGTGAAGGGCAGCTTTGGAAGGCACCTGATCCCTGACCTGGAGACAGGCAGCACAATAATGCAGCGGATCCTGGAGAAGCAGAAGTTCCAGAGAGAATTTCCCTTTCTGGGGTTAGTGACCCCTAGGAGGAACATGGCTGGTGGCACCAGGTGGGCTGTGGCCCAGTCATCCTTGGTGAGGTTCAAGGATGGAAAATTTGTTCTCCAGAACTGTCCGAGTGTTTGCTGTGTTTCTGAGTTATGTTTCAATTCATGAAGTACAGTTTATGTTGTTTCCCACTCCAGGGCATTGAGGCATGGGGAAGGAGCTTTATGACACAATTCAGACAAGACCAATACAAAATGATGAATAATGTCCTTAAATGCAAATATAAGGACATTATCTACAAATTATTTGCATGTTTACATGGACATAGATGAGGAATGGGAAGTATGATACGTTGAGTTTTGTTGTGTTGACATATTTCTTCCTGCTTTATCTGGGGGATAATCATAATATGACCACAAACTGAAATGTAATTATGAAAGATGTTTGTTGCATCAAAAAGATTGATGCTTGGCCATCACCTCTTCTCCCTCTGGGGATTGGGAGCAGTGCACTAAGATGTGGGCGATTGGTGACGTGGAGGATGAGTTTGGGTTCAGTGTGAACGTGAAGAGGTTGGGAGTGGCTTGTGGCTGGATGTGTTTGACCACATCCAGTGCCTCTGTTGAGTGCACTGTGTCGTCTTCAGCCCTTCTTGGTGACTTGGAGGCTGTTCTGTTTTCTAGTCCCTGGTAATCATATCTTGTTATTCGTGTAGCACCCTTCCTTTGGGACCTTAAAAGACAGAATGTTCTTCATGCTTCTAAACCAATATCACCTCACAAGAAGCAGGGAGCAGAACGACAGAGGCTCAGAAAGATAAGATGACATTAAGTTCATGTTGAACAAGAATCTCACCACTAGGAGCAGAATTTACACTTCTTTTCAAGTCGTCCTTACTGCTTTTGTGATTATTTGTCTCTTAAGGTCACAGTTAGTGCCTTGTTCCCCAGAGAGCACGTCCTGGTCTCTCCTTTTGCCGTTACACACTGGAGCCAGGCATCTTTTCCAGAACTGATCTCAAGGGCTTTGGTCAGCTCTTAGGTATATTTAAATCCTTTCCTTTTTTTCATAAAATGGTGGTAGGAGTCTTCTCTATAGAAATGGTAAGGAGTCTACATACATCTGAGGAAAAGTAAGATACAGATTGTGACTTAATTGGAAAATCTCTAAATCTGCTTTTTTCCTGTTAGGATTCACTACAACATTTTCTATTGCCTGTATCTTCAGGAGAATTCCTCTACTCAGGCCACAGAAGTTAAAGAAGAACCATCAGTTTGGCCGGGGTACGTATATAGACAAGCTTGTGTGTTCTCTGTCTTCCATTCTTGAGTCTTTCTCATACTTAAGGAAGAGAGGTATTTTGTTTTAACAACTTTATTGAGGTGTAATTTACATTACATAGAATTCACCCATTTTAATTGTACAATTCAGTGATTTTTAGTAAATTTAGAGTGTGCAACCAACATCGTAATCTAGTTTTAGAACATTTTTATCACCCGAAGGGGAGGCCTTTTTTGGGGAAAGTTAAATTTTGTTCCTACAATTTGCCTGTTTGGTTTTTGACAGTCCATTTTTACGTGGTCTTTTCAATTCCTTCCTTTTCTCTAATTTCTCTTTTGTAATGATTATAGCAAGAAAACAAGCATCCAGCTTACACATGAACAACAGCTGATTCTGAGCCATAAGATGGAGCCTCTCCAGGTGGTAAAAATTATGGCATTTGCAGGTAAGGGAGCTCGCCAGTCCTGGAATAGAGTCAGGTTCATGCCTCTTACCACTACATCCCCCTTCCCTGCCACCTGCTGGAGTATCTTTATCTTGATTTGTTATTGAACTACTACAGTTAAATAATCTAAAAAGCAGTTGTCAAGGAATACTTGTTTGTTTGCTTTTTTACCACTCCGGGGAGCATCCACGCTGGAGATCCTGGTGAGACAGATAGTTCATAGGAGTTAATTTGTAGGGTAGATACCACTGGGATTGATCCAGCCTGTCATTTATAATCGTATATCCTCAGTCACTGATTGCTTACAGAGTGGCAGGTCATATTAATCTCCTGCTCAGAGTGTTTCAGTAGCTCCTTGGTTTCTGTAGGGTGAAGTATAGAAGGCCCTCCCACCCTTGGGTTCTACATTGCTAAATACATTGTCTGCTATTCTGCCTCAGGCAGCGATCGTACTTAGAGTCTTCTAAAGTTCTTGGTGGTTCTTTTGTCTGAACCTTTGCTCGTACAATTTTCTCTACCTAGAATTCCTTCCCACTTCTTTTCTGCACGAATACCCTACTCTAAAAACAACAACAACCATTAAATGCCTGCCGTGTGCCTGGCGCTGTGTTAATCCTAGCAACATTCTGTGAGGTTGCTAAGTTATCTCTAGTTCGTAGGTAAGGATCTGAAGCTCAGAAAAATTAAAATGACTTGCCCCAGGTTAAATAAGCAAATCAGTGGTGGAGGTAGAATTCAAAGCTGGATCTGTTGCTCTCCAAAAACATCATGCCTTTTCCCCTCCCCCCTCTTTCCGTCTTTCCCCACTCCTTCTCTTTTTTTGCCATGCCATGTTGACTCCTATCATTTCTGTTTCTTCTTGATGGAGACCTCTTTAGCCATATGAGTCCTATATGATCTCTGAACTCTTACTGTAACTCATCTGTGTTAACTGTTCGATACCTGATTATATAGTAAGAATAGCCAACACACACATTTTATAAATCTTTCCACACTGTGTCATTAATCTTCAAAGCAGCCCTGTTAGGTAGGGAAAGAGGTACTATTTTCCTTCTTTTACAGGTGAGTTTTTTTGTTTCTAAATCCATATTTTTTCACTCTGCTATGTTATCATTATACTCTCATTTTGTTCTAATTGTTTCAACGGTGTTGGTATTTTATTCCCAAGTAGACTGTAATGTAGGAACCTTGTCGTGTAGTTTTTAATACACTCTCAGGACTTAGCATACAGCGGAACATGTAGCAGCTGCTCAATAAATACTTGTTGAATGACAGTTGAATAAGTACGTAATTGAATGAATGGTGGAGAGGTTGGGCAGATGAGAGTGTTCAGAATGGGTCCGAAGAATCTTGAATCTCATTTGCATGCTCTTGCTGTGGAAACATTAATGACTCGTAGGTGGGTAACAGCTACAGTTTATGGAGTTCCTCTGCGGGGTACCTTGATGATTATCTTTATCTTGCCAGACCCTACAAGGTCTGTGTTACCCGCACATGGCTGAGCAGCAAACAGTGAGGTCGAGTGGCTCGCCCTTCACTACTCAGCTAGAACCTGCCAGAGCCGTAGTCCCAACCCAGGTTGATCTAGTTTAAAATTGGCTGCTCTTTTCACAACACTGTTTTTAGTTTTGTTTTTTTTTTTATAATTTTATTTATTTATTTTTTTCCCCCAAAGCCCCAGTAGATAGTTGTATGTCATAGTTGCATGTCCTTCTAGTTGCTGTATGTGGGACGCGACCTCAGCATGGCCGGAGAAGCAGTGCGTCGGTGCGCGCCGGGATCTGAACCCGGGCCGCCAGCAGTGGAGCGCGCTCACTTAACTGCTAAGCCATGGGGCCGGCCCCTGTTTTTAGTTTTAATCTGTATTAAAAATCTTGTCACTGTCTGGTAGCAGGCAAGAGGTGAGATAAGCATGGGGAAGACCTCCTTAGGGCATCCTTTGGAACAGTTTCTCCTGGTCAGAGGGTCACGTCCTTTCCTCTTGGCTTCCCCAGGCACCGGGAAGACCTCTACCCTGGTCAAGTACGCTGAGAAGTGGTCTGAGAGCAGGTTTCTGTATGTGACATTCAACAAGAGCATCGCCAAGCAGGCCGAGCTAGTCTTCCCCAGCAATGTCACCTGCAAAACCTTTCATTCCATGGCCTATGGACACGTCGGGCGGAAGTGAGCATTGCATTGCCACCATCGTTGTTATGTCCTTACGGTTTTCACATTGTGATCATTATGGTCACGTATGAGCTTACACCATAACAACACTGAGAGAACCTAATGCTTTTATCTCCGTTTACAGGCAGGAAGTATAAAGATGGATTTAGTGATTTGTACTTTTACCCTATAAAAATTTATTGTTTACAAACAACAATATCTTGCTGAAAGGGGCATTCTCATTTCTCGGGAGTTGAGGCACAGAAAGTCAAAATGACTTGTCAAGTTCAGGATGTCACCAATCTGATTGATCAGTTTTCGGCTTTCCTTGGAAGGGAGGGAGGGAAGGGGAGAAGACTAAGCAGGGGTGCGGTTGGCCCAGGTCTCCTGGGGGCTCTGAACCAGCATTCCCTGGGATGTGAAGGCTTCGAGGAACTCTGTGTGTCCCTCTGGGGGCCTCATGGAGGCTGGTCCACACCTCAGAATAGTAGTACCTGCCGTGAGCTGCTTCATATTCTGTGTTATTATATGTGAATTCCTGAAAGCCTAATGAAGCCATTTCAAATCATACATGGACCTTGCTCAACTTCTCTGGCTTTTTTTCCCCCCCTCACCTATATGTGACACTTGAGTGACCTTATGGTGTCATTGGAGAGAAGGGGGTTGGGAGTAGGGGAGACACTAAATACTGGATTGTCAGTAAAGCCAACTGCTGTTCATTTGGGATATGCATTATAGGTACCAATTAAAGAAGAAACTGAATCTCTTCAAGTTAACACCCTTCATGGTAAATTCTGTCCTTGCTGAAGGGAAAGGAGGATTCATAAGGGCCAAACTAGTGTGTAAGACTTTAGAGAACTTCTTTGCCTCGGCTGATGAAGAGTTGACTATTGATCATGTGCCTATTTGGTGTAAGAACAGCCAAGGACAGAGAGTCATGGTTGAACAGAGTGAAAAACTGGTGAGTATCTGAACATCTTGAGTATTAGCAATCTGGGCGTAAATGGGAAGAGTTGACATGGTGCAGTGTCACATTTGTCTTTCATTTCTTCAGAACTGCTGGCAGGAAGTAAGGTGGAGGGGAGAGACTGTAGGCCCATCGTGATAGCTGCGAATTGTGCGGTGTCCTCTGTGAAGAACACCTGTAGACATCTCACTTAATCCTCACACTGGTCCTCCCGTTTAGCAGATGAGGCACCTACCCAAGGTTTATAAGAGCTTGTCGTTGGGTCTGCTGGACCTAGAATCTAAGGATTGGGAATCTCTTTTCTAATTTTTATCAAGTCTTCTCAATCATTTGCCATTCTTTTTATAAATTAACTATCAGTCATAAATCTAGAGAAATAATCCCACGTTTTTTGGTTCATCAGATGTTGTGCTCTCTCAGTGACATTCTGTCCCTGAGCTTGGTACGGCCCCAACTTCTTACTCATCTTGGCACTTGACATCGTTAAAGGCTGTCGTGGAACCAGAGGGAGCTTAGGGCTGTGCCTGCTGCTCACTGTGCTGTGATGGTGCCTTTGCTCTGACCTCTGTATTTGGAAATGCAAATGTGATTTCAGGGCGCTGGCTTTTCCAGGGTCTTAAACCGAGAGTTACCATATCACTTGCTTTCTAGAATGGTGTCCTTGAAGCAAGCCGACTTTGGGACAACATGCGGAAGCTGGGGGAATGCAAAGAAGAGGCTTACCAAATGACTCATGATGGTATGAAGTTCCCAAGTCTTGATATCTGTTCAGCGTGCCTGCTTTAGTTACGAATTCTGACTCTCACTTCTCCCTTTCAGGCTATTTGAAACTCTGGCAGCTGAGCAAGCCTTTGCTTGCCTCTTTTGACGCCATCTTTGTGGATGAGGCCCAGGACTGTACCCCAGGTGATAAACTATTCAGGACATCAGTAGTCAGATACATAGAAACAACATCATGATTATGTAAGAGGACATATATGTGAATAAGTTGATTATTCTTATTTGTCGTAAAGAAGAGGAGCAAATGATATTTAGTCATTCAGAAATCCTTTCTGACTTGACTTTGGATGTCAACACTTGTCCTTCCTCCCCACCCAAAACAGATTTATTTCCTTTAAATGTTTTGCTTAGGTTATTCTTGAAATGTTTTCTTTTTTTTTTGAGGAAGATTGGCTCTGTGCTAACATCTGTTGCCAATCTTCCTCTTTTTCTTTTTTCTCCCCAAAGCCCCAGTACATAGTTGTGTGTCATAGTTGTAGAGTTGTAGCTCTTCTATGTGGGACGCCGCCTCAGCGTGGCTTGGTGAGCGGTGAGTAGGTCCTTGCCCAGGATCCTAACCGGCGAACCCCAGGGTGCCGAAGCGGAACGCATGAACTTATCCATTGCGCCACTGGGCCAGCCCCTGTTCTTGAAATGTTGACTAAGCGTAGGTCATCAGATGATAGGGCCCTAGACTCATGCCAAGTGGGAAAAGGGAGTCATTTTAGAATGAACAATTTGTGTTGTATACTTTTCAAGCGACTACTAGAAAATAACGTGACCTTGCAGGTCATTTTGGGGCCTTAAGCAATAATATTAGAGAAGACAGTTTGCCTCATTTTGTATTTGCCTGTGTGGTTTCTTATACTCAGTAAGATAATCTGCATTTCTAGGATTAGAAACTGTTTCTTGCGTCCATTATAAAATTGTTTCTCTGGGCCGGCCCCGTGTCTTAGCGGTTAAGTGCTCGTGCTCCGCTACTGGCGGCCTGGGTTCGGATCCCGGGCACGCACCGACGCACCGCTTCTCCAGCCGTGCTGAGGCCGCGTCCCACATACAGCAATTAGAAGGATGTGCAGCTATGACATACAACTGTCTACTGGGGCTTTGGGAGAAAAAAATAAATTAATTAATTAAAAATAAAATAAAATTGTTTCTTTGGATTGAGTGTGCCTATCCTGCAGGAAAAAATAACTCTGTTGTCCAGCATGTCCTGGCTTAGTTTCATGAAACTGTTTTCATCCTTTGATGGCTTAAATATGATTTCTTTTTGCTGTGTGGGCAGGCGTTCCTTCAGATCTCTTACTTTCCCTCTTATTGGTTGCAGCTATCATGAATATCGTGCTGTCACAGCCATGTGGGAAAATCTTTGTAGGGGACCCACACCAACAGATCTATACCTTCCGTGGTGCAGTCAATGCTCTCTTCACGGTCCCTCACACTCACGTCTTCTATCTCACACAGGTAAGAGCTCTCTTTACTTCTGGGTCCCCAGAAGTGTATAAACAAGCATTATGGTTCCCCACCCTTGTTTCTCAGGGTTTGCCATGTGCCAGGCCCTGTGCAAGGTTTTGTGTCAGGCTCACAGTCTGTAACAAATCCCTGCTTCTAAGCAGTGGTCCTCAGGGGGTCTGCAAAGTCAAAACTGTTTTCCTAATAGTTATTTGCCTTTTTCACTGTGTTGACATTTGCACTGATGGTGCAAAGCCAGTGGTGGGTAAAACTGCCAGTGCCCTCCCATGAGTCAAGGCCTCGGCACCAAGCGGTACTACTGGTCATTGTATTCTTGACTGCTACAAACTCAGTTGAAAAAAAAAGGCAAAACAAAAAGCAGTTCACGTGAGAATGTCCTTGATGATACAGCAAAAATGATTAATTTTATTAAATGCTGACCCGTGACTACGTGTCTTTAATATCTGTGTGATGAGGTGGGAAGTCCGAGTCAAGTGCTTCCGCACACTGGAGTGTGTGGGCTGTCTGACGAAGCGTACTTTTGTGGTTGAGTTGTGAGTTTGCTGGCTGCCTTTCCTTGTGGCACCATCAGTACTTGAAAGAACAGCTGACAGACCACCTCTGGTTATTCAGACTTGGGTGTTTGGCATTTTCTCAAAAATGAATGAAATGAGCTATGACTTCAAGGAAAACAGCTGACAAATGTTTGTTGCCAAAGATAAAATTCTTGCTTTCAAGTGAAATCAAAATTTTGGAAAACTCGTGTCTGCCACCATGAGCATGACGATTCGTGGTGTCCTTGATTGTCCAAAAAGGCTACTAAACACTCCTTCCTTTTCAGTACCTATCTGTGGAAGGTTGAATTTTCTCCCTATACTTCAGCCAACACAAGACATCACAGCAGATTAAAGGCAGACAGAACTGTGAGAATTCAGCTGTCTTCTATTAAGCTGGGCATTGAAGAGATTTGTAAAAATGTAAAACAGTGCCACTCTCCTTCCTAAATTGTTTTTGTATTAGAAAATATAGTTTAAGAAATATGTTCTTTGTGTTATCATGTAATGGGTTTATTGTTATTTTTAAGTGAATTAAATTTCTTATATGGTAAATATTGATAGACACAACTCATATACATAAAAGCTCCATTGGGGCCTCAGTAATTTTTAAAAGTGTGAAGAGGGAGGCTGGCCTGGTGGCATAGTGGTTAAGTTCATGCACTCCACTTCAGTGGCCCAGAGTTCGTGGGTTCAGATCCTAGGCACGGACCTACACACCGCTTATCAAGCCATGCTGTGGTGATGTCCCACATAAAATAGAGGAAGATGGGCACAGATGTTAGCCCAGGGCCAATCTTCCTCAGCAAAAAGAGGAAGATTGGCAATGGATATTAGCTCAGGGCTAACCTTCCTTACCAAAAAAAAAAAAAAAGTGGACCATGCAGTGTGAGAAGCACTGCTTTCAGAGACTCGCTTCTAGTCAGAGGACATGAGAGGTGCCAGCTTTTTTTTTTTTTTATAATAATAATTTTATTTATTTATTTTTTCCCCCTAAGCCCCAGTAGATAGTTGTATGCCACAGCTGCACATCCTTCCAGTCGCTGTACATGGGATGCGGCCTCAGCATGGCCATAGAAGCCGGCGCGTCGGTGCGCGCCCGGGATCCGAACCTGGGCCGCCAGCAGCGGAGCGTATGCACTTAACCGCTAAGCCATGGGGCCGGCCCAGAGAGGTGCCAGCTTTTATTCTGGTGTCATCTGAGTTTCATTCTGTTATAGAAAGTCCCATGGCCTACTCCGTGACTTTATCCCCTTGTGTCTGTCGTTGTAGGCAATAGTGATTTAGAGTGGCGTCAACTCAGAGTAATTTTTTTTTCTGGGGAAAATTCGCCCTGAGCTAACATCTGTTGCCACTTTTCCTCTTTTTTTTCCTCCCCAAAGCCGCAGTACATAGTTGTACATTCTAGTTGTAAGTCTTTCTGGTTCTTCTATGAGCCGTTGTGAGCGGCTGTCACAGCATGGCTACTAACAGACAAGTGGTGTGGTTGTACGTCCGGGAACCGAACCCCGGCCACTGAAACAGAGCGCGTCGAACTTTAACTGCTAGGCCGTCAGGGCTGGCTCAGAGTAATTTTTTTCAATAGACATTTTTTAGTTTCAGATTTACATAAAAATTGAGTAGATAGTACGGAAAGTTCCCGTATAGACCATGCATTCAGTTTCCACTTATTAACATCTTATATTGGTGTAGTACATTTGCCACAATTCGTGAACTAGTATTGACACATTATTATAAACTAAAGTCATAGTTTGTTCAGATTTCCTTAGTTTTTACCTCCTGTCCTTTTTCTGTTCCAGGATCTTATTCAGGTTACCACATAGCGTGTAGTTGTCATGTCTCCTTAGGCTCCTGTTGGCTTGACAGTTTTTCAGATCAGACTTGCCTTGTATTTGATGACTTTGACAGTTTTGAAGAGGACTGGTCAGGTTTTGTAGGATGCCCCTGTACTGCAGTTTGTCTGTTGTCTTTCTCATGATTAGACTGATGTTATGCAGTTTTGGGAGAAAGACTTCAGAAGACAAATTGCCATATTCATCACACGACATCAAGGGCTCAACTGTCAATGTGAGTGCGGACTGTTGCTGTTGACCTTGATCACCTGGCTGAAGCAGTGTTTGTCAGGTTTCCCAACTGTGAAGTCACTCTGCCCCTGCACCCCCTCTTCCACAGTGTATGCTTTGGAAGGAAGTCACTGTACCCAGCCCTCAGTCAAGGATTAAGTGTTGGAGTATCTACATAGATTATTTGGAATTCTTTTGCTAAGGAGAGTAGTGTCGTGTCTTCTATTTATTTATGTATTATGTACGTATGTATGTATGTGAGGAAGATCAGCCCTGAGCTAACATCCGTGCTAATCCTCCTCTTTTTGCTGAGGAAGACCCACTCTGAGCTAACATCTATTGCCAATCCTCCTCCTTTTTTTTTTCCCCCAAAGCCCCAGGAGATAGTTGTATGTCATAGTTGCACATCCTTCCAGTTGCTGTATGTGGGATGCGGCCTCAGCATGGCCGGAGAAGCAGTGCGTCTGTGCGCGCCCGAGATCTGAACCCGGGCCGCTGGTAGCGGAGCGCGCTCACTTAACCGCTAAGCCACGGAGCCGGCCCCTCTTCTATTTATTTATTCCATCATTTATATCAGTATGGACTCGGATATTTATTTTATAATTTGGGTCATGGCTCACTCAGAATAGTTCTGTAGCAACAAAGTCCTGTTTGTTGAAAGTCTTATTTTCTATAGACTATATTATTGATGTGCACCAAAGTAAATAATACTTTATTACCTTAAGTTATAAATGCCTGGAAAAAGGCAATAAATACCATGAGTTTGGGGAAGAATGGTGTCTTTCCAGCAGAGTGATCAAGGAAGTAGGCTCTTGGGCCTTGTTTTGAAGGGTAGGAAATTATTTTGGCGTGCACCAAGGCAGGGAGAGTGTGGGGAGCACTCAGGAAATGACGATTGTGTGTGAGGCTGGTTATGTTGGGCAGTAGTTTTAAATTAATGTTGAAGGGCCAGCCCCGTGGGTTAGCGGTTAAGTGCACGCACTCCGCTACTGGCGGCCCTGGTTCGGATCCCGGACGTGCACTGACGCACCGCTTCTCCAGCCGTGCTGATGCCTCATCCCACATACAGCAACTAGAAGGATGTGCAGGGGCCGGCCCCGTGGCTTGGCGGTTGGGTGCGCGCGCTCTGCTGCTGGCGGCCCGGGTTCGGATCCTGGGCGCGCACTGACGCACTGCTTCTCCGGCCATGCTGAGGCCGCGTCCCACATGCATCAGCTAGAAGGATGTGCAGCTGTGACATGCAGCTATCTGCTGGGGCTTTGGGGGGAAAATAAATAAATAAATAAAATCTTAAAAAAAAAAAATATTAAAAAAAAAAAAAGAAGGATGTGCAACTATGACATACAGCTATCTACAGGGGCTTTGGGCAAAAAAAAAAGAGGAGGAGGATTGGCAATAGATGTTAGCTCAGAGCTGGTCTTCCTCAACAAAAAGAGGAGGATTAGCACGGATGTTAGCTCAGGGCTGATCTTCCTCACAAAAAAATAAATAAATAAATAAAAACTGGTTAAAAAATTAATTAATTATTAATTTATTAATTAATATTGAAGGAGTCTCAGAGACAAGGGGAGCACCGCCCCGCCATCCCTGAATCTTTTATAAGTGTCTTTTACACTTCTTCGTTAGATTTGATTTGGGAAGAAGGGTAGATTTGCTTCAAAGAAAAGTTTGCCTTTGGTCTTGGGGATAAAGGAGAATAAGGCTGTGCAGACTGTGAGGGATCTTAAAAGTGCATGCATCACCTTTCCATCATGTATTGCTCTCCTTTTTTGTGGCAAGGGCGTGGCTTGATGAAAGTGTGTGGGCAAGATTCACCTGCAGAGGTACAGTGTGGCAGTGGGAGGAGACCGGAGAGAAGGAGACCAAGTAGATGAGGCATGAAGTTGGATTTCTGAGCTGAGCTGGTAGCAGTGGTAAGAAAAATAATGTAGAAAATACAGTGGAAGAATTGTCAAGATTTGGATTTAGTAGCAAGGGGTAAAGAAAAGTAGATAACTCTAAGGTTTCAAGATAGAAAATGCTATTCTGAAAACTTGGACATAAAGGCAGTGATTCTTTGATTGTCAAGCTCCTGTTCAGTATCAGTGGGTTCACAGTAGGGGAATTCTGAATATCCTTCCAGGTAGGGTGAGTCAGGAATGATCAGTTGGGTTTGCAAGGCCAGGACTTGACAGTAATGAAATGTGCTAACATACTTCAGGGAGGGGTCGTTAACTCCTTTTGTTCTGTTGTCTTCCAACAGAGTTTTAGGTTTGGTGTGGAAATAGCTTACGTGGGAGCTACCATCTTGGATGTCTGCAAGAGAGTAAGGAGAAAGACTTTGGTTGGAGGAAACCACCAGAGTAAGGCTTTCAGTTACTCTTATTGGTTACAAAGATGAGTTTTCCTCTTTGTTTGGATTTGCCATAGAGTTTGTGCTCTCTCCCAAAAGGTGGCATTAGAGGTGATGTCAAGGGTCAGGTGGCCCTGTTGTCCCGGACCAATGCCAATGTGTTTGATGAGGCTGTGCGTGTGACGGAAGGAGAAGTACCTGCAAGGATACATTTGATTGGGGTAAGAGTAAATTTCTGTTGACTGCCTCATGCACAGAAATGCTGCCGACAGACGTAGCCAGTGAAAATGTTCAACCTCATTAGGATTATTATGCAAGCAAGCATTGGGTTTTTGACTATTTTCTCCATCTGCGCCGTGACTGAAGTCCTTACCCCTGGCCATTGTGATTATGCTAGCCAAACTTTCCTGTCAAGTCAGACTGATAAGGACTGAGGATCTTTTCTTCCACTCTTTAAAAAGAATAAATGCCCTGCTCGCCTTTGACTGTGCAAATGAGGCTGCCGGCTCTCTGGAGTGTTTTGGTGTGTGTTGTTCATTAGTCTAAGAACAAGCGAGATGACAACGCAGCTGGGAGGTGCTCGTGGGCTCCACTGTAGAATGTGTGAACACCTGGGTTCTAGCTCTGGTTCTCTCACTAACTGTGTGGCTTGTGGCAAGTCACAGCTTCTGTGTGCCTCATTCTCTCCCTCTCTAAGGTAAAATAATGCCTTTCCTTGACCTGTTTCACGGGGAAGTTAGAAGGATTAGGTGACGTGTGTGACCTTTTTAACTCTTTGAAGCAAAGTCATATGACTAAAAGACATTCACTCATTCGTTTATGAAAAAAATATTTTTGAGGGCCTACTGTGTGTAGACAATAAATATAGTAAGTGAATCATCATCAAAAGATGTTCTGACTTTTCTCTTTTTTATTTACAAAGATTATAAACCAAGTTACACAAATTTGGGGAATTAAAAGGAAAACAGAATCACCCTTCATCTTAGTATTTTATATGATATTCCTTTTTGGTAATTATTTGTCTTTGTCCTTAGAGATGTATATTTTTACATAATTGTAGTGATAGTGTACATAAAAATTATGCTGTTTTTTACTCAATGCATCAGCATATTTTCTTTCGTGTTGCTACTTTAATGACTTTACAATATTTCATCTAGTGGATATAGCATAATTTAGCCATTTTCGTTATTGTAAGCAAAGAGTACTTTTGGAGTATCATCCATGCTGGGCATGGTATAAAGCAAGTTGTTCTCATCCCCTCTCTTACGTCTACTCATCGCCTGTGGCATGTATCATTACACTTGATCACATCTGGTTTCCAGTTATAATGTATACTGTCTTATTTCAGTCTGTGTTTTATGTTAATGTTTTATATGTCCCTTCCCAAAATGATGATAAATCCTTGGAGTGTGGAGCCTTTGTCATGTGTTTCTTCTGTACGGGGGCCTGGTGCTGTGTGAGAGCTGGGGCCCCCAGTCAGTACTCAGCACGTACTTGTAGGTGGAATTGGGGTGAACTGGGATACAGTCAGGCCCTCTCCTCTAGGAGGTAACCTTTTAAAACATACAATAATCTGGACCTATAGACGTTCTCTAGTTCCTTCCTCAAAAGAAACAATGGTAAGTATTCATACTCCACGCTTTGTATTCAGGTATCACTGTATTCTTCATTGCAACCATTTTATATTCCTGGGAGGGAGATGATTGAAATTGCCCTTTTTTGACAAGAAAGCAACATGCAGCTAGTTTTTGCCTTTTTTTTTTTAACATAGGAAGAATTTGAGGTAGCAGCCAAAACTCAGCTTTGGATAATCCTGGGTTTTCAGGCTATGTTATAGCCCAGTGCTTCTGTGCTTGGTGAAGTTTCCTGCTTACTGTCTTTATGGGTGCAATTTGAGCTCTGTTTCCAAGCAACCATCTCATTTCAGAATCCCATCTCTACATTTGCTTTACTTTGTTTTGTTAAAACAACAACAACAAAACAAAACGAAAAACAACAAAAAACCAAAAATCCCACCAAAAAACTTTTTCAGGGGATTAAATCATTTGGATTGGACAGAATCATTGATATTTGGATCCTTCTTCAGCCGGAGGAAGAACGGAGGAAACGTGAGTACCCTCCTGGCCATGGTGCAGTGGACGGAAGGACCCCATCATGGGATGGGAGAAGGATGGGCTGCTCTGGTTTTTCTCCTGGAGAAGGGTGGAGCTAGTGTTGCTCTTTTCCCATCAAGAGTGGGGTGCCTGAGGCCTCCTGTTTTCACAGGTACTGACAGCTCTTTCCAGATCCTTGTCTCAGGAGTCTAAATTTCTTTCCAACGTTGGTCCCTTAGGCTGTCTTCCCTCACCATCTTTCTGTCTGCCTGGGCAACCTGACACACCGACACTTCTCCATGGGCCCCAAATGATCATTTCTAGCATTTCTATAGCGCTTTTCTTCTCGAGACTGCGCTGTTCCACATCCCTGTGAAGTAGGTAAGGATCTCAAGGGTAGGGCTCTTGATCCTCAGTTTGGAGACGGAGAGGCTAACGCACAGGTCATTTCACGGACTTGCCCAGGAACACACAGCAGGTTAGTGATGTAGTCGGGACTAGAACCCGGATCTCCCAGCTTTAGGACGTTCATTCATTGTGCTGTTGGTTAGGAACGTGTAGCTGCTGCCACTGCATGTCAGTATAGCCTATGTCACGTTAACCTGTATATTTCTTCTCCTTAGAAAACCTCATTATCAAAGACAGATTTATTAGAAGATGGGTGTACAAAGAAGGCTTTAGTGGGTTCAAGAGGTACGTGACTGCAGCTGAGGATAAGGAGCTTGAAGCTAAGATTGCAGTCGTGGAAAAGTATAACATCAGGATTCCAGAGCTGGTGGAGAGGATAGAAAAATGCCATATAGAAGACCGGGACTTTGCAGGTAAGGAGGACAGTTAGTTCTTCACTTCCCCCTGGGTGGAGGGACAGATGATCTTCTCATGCTTCTCGCCCGCATGAGTATCACATGTGACCGAGGGCGGCCTTGCTGCGTTCTTGGCATCGCCAAAAAGAGAGGGGAACAGAGCTGCCTTCCTTATCTCGGGGCCCTGTATTTCTGGTCCACCTCCAAGCTGGTAGAATGGGACTTTCTAGTCCCAGCTCTGCCACTGTGGGACTTCGGGCAAGCCACTCACCCCTCTGCTGGACATCTGTCCCTTCAAGTGTAAAATACAGGGGTGGGCAGGTCGCTGTGAGCTCTGCAGTGTGGTTCTGAGATGTACCAACTCGCCTGCAACTAATTTTCTACTTTCCCTTCATCTTTTTATTTTTCTCTCTCTCTTTTTCTTCTGAGTTTCCTCTTTCCCCCTTTTCCTGCAAAGCTGCACACAGGCAAAGAAACGTAGTTGAGTTTTAAGAGTAGAGTAGGAAGGGTGCCCTTCTTCTCCCTCTCTCCTTTCTTTCCCTGTCAAGCCCGTCTAACTGTAGGCTGTGTTTTTATTCCAGAGTACATTTTGGGCACCGTGCACAAAGCCAAAGGCTTGGAGTTTGATACTGTGCATGTTTTGGATGATTTTGTGAAAGTGCCTTGTGCCAGGCACAACCTGGCACAGCTGCCCCACTTCAGAGTCGGTAAGGACACTGGTTGCGCTGAGGGTCCTCTTTAAGCGTTGACTGGGGTCCTTGCTTTGGACTGCCTTGCTTTCTGTTGAATGGTGGGGCCTCTTGGAATGATCCTTCTAGAAGGAAAAAAATCCTCCTAATCCTAAATTTTTTATTCTTATACTGTATTTTTTTAGAAAAACTGAGCTTACAGGGTCAGCCTCTCTCAGGGCTGCTTGTAGGGCGCTTATGTTGACAGTGGCCCTCTTTGACCTGCATCAACTCTGCGGCTTTGTCACTGTCAGATGTTGGGGGCCCCAGCCATGTAAAAGCTTCAAAATGTACAGTTTACCTGCTCACCGAGGTGTTTTTTCTTTAATTAATTCTCTTTCTTTTTATTAAAGAGGCCAGAAAATCATAAAAGGTGAAATAGTAAGCACTCTTTATCATTTGTCTGCCTTTGCATAAATTTATACTCAGGGCTAGTTGTTGAACTCTAAGCGTCAGTGCTATTGTTTTGGTTTTAAATTAAAACTATGTGAAGTTTTCCCACAAACAAACAAAAGCTCTCTATTAACTGTGGATTCAAAATTTGGGGCGTAGCATACATTGGCAGGCTGAAAATAGAAATACTAAAAATTCCTTATCTCTGATGAATATGTTCATTAAATGAGAGAAAGACATGGGATGGAACATAAATTGGAGTGGAGTGGGGAAAGGAGGTGGCTGTAGAGAGGTACCAGCTGCTTGATGTTGGGGAGGAGAAGTTTATTTAATGTACTACCACCTTTTTTTCCCCTTGCTGGTCATTACATGTTTACACATATATATGTACATATATGTATATTTTGGTAACAGCTGTATTGAGATATAATTCACATACCTTCCAATCCCCCCATTTGAAGTGCATAATTTAATGGCTTTTGGTATATTCACAGATCCCCTGCTCTTTATTGAGTTCTCACGATCGTGCTGAGTGTCGTGAGTGAGAGAAGACAGGTGTAAGGCAGGCAGTAAAGGCTTGTGATGGTTTTTCTTCTCTGGTTGTCCTGTGACAACATAAGACATTCCCAGATCGGACTGAGAGAAAGAGAGAGACAGCGGCAGGAAAAGGAAAGAACACGGGCTTTGGAGACGAGGAGGCTTGGGTTCGGCTCCTGGGCCCTTGATCAGCCGTGGCCTGTTTGTCCGAGTGACTTAACCTCCGTAAGCCTCAGTTTCCCCATCAGTCCCACAGGGTTGTCATGAGGAGAACTGGGAGAATGAACAGAAATATGCACCGGGCACATCACAGGTGTTGAATAACCAGTGAAGAGACTCCCAGGATTTACCAGCACAAACTAAAACTCAGTGTTTTGTGCCATCAGTCTTTAGGGTTTCTGTTCATTTTTGGAGTTGGTGTTTGTAGGAAAATTTTATATATACAGCCAGCAAATCTTGAATGGTTTTCTTGGAGAGGGAAGCGGGTGAGGGTTGTAAACATTTAGATAAGAACATAATTTTGGCAAGCAGGCTTTTGAGTTGCTCTCTTTTTTCCCTTTACTTTGTTTAGAGTCATTTTCTGAGGACGAGTGGAATTTACTGTATGTTGCGGTAACTCGTGCCAAGAAGCGTCTCATCATGACCAAATCGTTGGAGAACATTCTGACTTTGGCTGGGGTAAGAGGAGCCGGTAGCACAGTTAATTTAATGTTTAGGTTTTAGTGGGTTTGAATAAGGGATCAACCTGTGGCCTTCTGAGGCCTTTGGTTCAGGATCCTGGGTTGGAAGGGAAGGGCTTCTTTCTTGAGTGCTTAGAGTCTCATTGCTAGTGCAGGAAGCGTTCTAACCAAAGAACCAAAAACGTGGGTTCTTTTCTAAATTCTTTCCTAATTCAATCTTAAAAGTTCTTTTAAAAATATCAACTATGTTTATGTATTTCTTAATTTCTCCCTTGCTTAATTAGTGATTCACACGCTTAGGGAACAGACAAGAATGTTTTCTGTATCTGCACCTCCTCCCTCCCACTCCCTAGTCCCTTTGCACTGGCATCTGCTGCTGCCACCAGTAGGCTTCTTGGAGAGAATTTGTCCTAGCCGGGGGAGAATGAATATTCAGGCGCCTGGCCTCTTGTCATTGACCGAGATGCAGAAAAGTGTCAGCACTCGCTCTTTACCCCTACAAACCAACCTTCTCCCTGGCTCTCTTATTTCTCTCTCTTTCCTGCCTCTTACAGTCTGGAGTATAAACCGGTTAGTCCTTTCAGCCCTGCTGGCAACTAGAACAGGAATTTGAGCTGACAGTTACTTCTTAGTCCCTCTTTCCCTGAGCCAGAGATTCTTAAGCCTGCAACCTGAAACTTAAGTATAAAAGTTATTATAAATATTCTTTCTTCTTAGCTATCTCCAAAACATACCAGATTTTGTATGGCAGGATGATTCAGTCGAAGTGCCGTATTGCATGTTCTACCAAGGAGGTGAGACTATTTGGAGCTGTAGAATCTCAGCATTGCTGCCAGTGGCTTGGAACCTTGGGCAGGGTGGGGGTGGGGAGCAGTACTCATCTTTTAGTAAATGGTATTCAGAGTCTCAGAGTCATGAAGTGGTGGAGAAACAGACCGTGATGCTCATAATTGAATCTTGATTGAATGCCTAATATGTGCCAAGCTCATTTCTAGCACTGGAGGTGTAATAGTGGGCAAGAGAAATTCCTGCCCCTGGAGAGCCCACGTTCTAGGTGGAGAGAGAGACAGCAAACAAGTAAACAAATAGCATTTCTCTTCCTGTTTGAGGAAGATAATATCAGAGCTTAAAAGGGAGAAACTTTGCAGGTAAATACTCTATCTGACCCATCCCAACAGCAAAAGCTTGTTGCATAAGGCCGATTACCTTGCATTTTTATCACACTTTTCTCTTTCAAGCCTCGTCGTCATTTTTCTTCCACGCCTCTCTGAGACAGGGCTATTTGGCCATCAGAATGTTTCTGGAACTTGAAATCAGCTGCACATTCCCCAAGCAGCTTTGCTTCATCTGGTCCTCCCCGTGGGTCACACCTCACCTAGTGTGACAGCTCACGTGTCGGAGCTTGGAACCACCAACCTTTTTCTTTGGTTGCATCCGTACTGGTACCTGGGTCACGCATTGGAGTCGCCAGAGATGACTTAGAGCAGAACTCTGCAAACCTTTTGTGTGAAGCGCCAGACAGTAAAGATTTTAGGCTTTGCAGCATATGATCTCGGTTGCGTCTGCTCAACTCTGCCATTGGAGCACAAGAGCAGCCACAGAAAGTTCGTTAACAAATGACTGTGGCCATGTTCTGATGAACATGATTAACAACAGATGCTGGTCTGGATTTGGTCCCTGGTTATAGTTTGCTGACCCCTGGCTTTTCTTAATCTCTAAACCAGTACCCCAGGGAGTGAAGTAGAATAATAATTTTTATGTACAAGTAATCTCTACCTATTACACGAGTTTTTCTGTAAACTTTGATCACAAATATTTGTTTGTTTGTATTTTGGTTTTTTTTGGTGAGGAAGGTTAGCCCTGAGCTAACATCCGTGGCCAATCCTCCTCTTTTTGCTGAGGAAGATTGGCCCTGGGCTAATATCCGTGCCCATCTTCCTCTACTTCATATGTGGGACGCCGCCACAGCATGGCTTGATAAGCGGTGTCTAAGTCTGCACCTGGGATCTGAACCTGTGAACCCTGGGCCGCCAAAGCGGAGCACGCGAACTTAAGCACTACACCATGGGGCCAGCCCCGATCACAAATATTTTTTTAGAACCTGTGGTATGGTTTTCTCATAGAAAAAGTGTTATGCTAGTGGTTAGATCCATAACAAAACCAAATTGTCACCTTGGTAACTTTTAGTGAAGATATTGTAGAGCAGTACTAACATTTTCACAGCATGGGTTAGGTAGGATTTTTTTTTTTTTTAACTTAGTTTCGAAAATTTTGAGACATTTAAAAGTCAAGAAAATAATATATTGAATACCATGTACAAATCACCCCTATATATATTTGGAGTATGCATCTCTAAAAAATATGGACATTTTTTTCATGACCACAGTGCCATTATCACATCTTATAAAATTTATAATAATTCCATGTGGTCTCTACTACCCAGTCCATAATGACACTTCTATGATTGTCTCACAAATGCCGTTTTATAGTTGGTTTGCTCAAATCAAGATCCAAACAGACTTTTGGTCGTTCGGTCTCTTAAGTTTCTTGATTTACAGCAGTCCAAGACCCCTCCCTCCTTTTTAATGTTCCTGTCCTTCTGCAGAAACTGAGTCAGTTGTCCCACAGAATGTCCCACGTTCTAGATTTGCTTCTTCGTGTGGCTGTGTAACTTGTTCTTTGCCTGCCCTGGCTTCCCTATCCCTGGAAGTCAGCCGTAGAGGCTTCATTAGATTCAGACTTAACTTCTCTGGCAGGAACCCTCCGCTTGGGGTGGAAGGGGGCTTCGCTTTGTTTTGCGTCAGTTTGGGAGGCAGTGAGTGACATCAGATTAATTATCTCCCCGTTAGCGATGCGGAGATGGTTCACCTTTTTAGTAGACAGAGCTAGGAAATCTATATTTTGAAAAGAAAGAAGAACCAAGAGTTCATACTGATAATTCCAATCCCAGTTTTTTATTTAAACCTTTTGTTGTTCAGTAGAACACCAATATATCAAACGGATGGGCAGTTTGCAGTTAGGATGAGGTGAACATCACCCAGGGCAGGAGATTGGCTTTGCCAGCCATCCCAGACGCCTTCCAGGTGGCCCCTCACAGCACCCTCCCTCCCGAGAGCACCTGCCATCCCAGCTTTTACTACGAGCACTCACTTTTCCTCATCATTTTTTACCAAGTGTGAGCCACCAACAATATGAGTGCTGAAAGCAATTAAAACGTGTTTTGCACACACTTCCTTCATTCTCCCATTTTTGTAAGGCTGCACTGTCTGCTTTGTCAGAGCCTGTAGCCGTTTACAGCCCTTATCAGTTGTAGTTCTGCAATCCAATTCAGATTGAACGGTAAAGGATTTTTACTTCTTTTGCACTTGAATCTTTTCTCTTACACTGCAAATCTTGATTCCTAACAGTATTTATTAATTACTTATTGACACTATTCCACTGTGTATATTTAAAATAATACCAATATTAGTGTTAACAGAATACTGGATGGAATTGAAGATTTCCTAACAGCTCCATTCTCTGTATTCCACTAAGGATGTGTAGTCAGAATATCATGTTCTGAAGACACTTGAAATAAGTCCCTTTTCCTCTGTGGTTTGATCACCAGTTTAATTCCAGCCAGATATATTTGTTTGTTTACAGTCCCTACAAGGATTGCATTGCTTCTTTTTGGTTATCTTTTTTGAATTATAAAACATTTATGTTTTCCAAGTCAAAACTTTTTAACAAGTGTATTCAGAGAAGTCTCCATTCCCTTTGTCGCTGAGAAATATACACAGAGATCAGTCTTTATCGGTTCATAAAGCTCTTTCTCATTCCTTCATACAGCTGAGTAGTAGTCAGTGTGTCAGCGTATCGTGATTTATGCAGGCCCTCGCTGATGGATATTGGGCTCTTTCCAGCTTTTTGCTTTTAATAATAATGCCACAATGTATAGTCTAACGCACAAGTCATTTTCTACTTTTGCCAGTGCATCTTGAACGTACGTTTCTAGAATCTAAATTTCTAGGTAAAGGATAAATGGATGTGTGATTTTTCTAGATATTGCCAAATTTTTCACAGAGATCGTATACCTTAGAGTCCCGCCAGTTATGTATAAGAGTCAAATAGGCTTTTTAAAGCTAGTTGGAGACTTATCAGTTGGTTACTGCATACATTTTGTGGGGAAAATTGAATTTTTCCCATAAAGAAAAGAATACGGAACCTAGAGAACTACTTCCCCCTTAGTGAGATAGCGCCAGAAATACAGCCCATTTGTGTGAACGGATGTTTATAAGTCTCAGAGTCCTTGTGTGAGGGGGAGTGCGTCTTCTTTTTTCTTTATCACAGCTTACAAATCAATTTGAGGAGTGGCTAAGTCCACCCTCTGCTCAGAGAGGAAGGCCAAAGGAGATCTTGAAGGAGGGGAGGGCAATAATTTAGGGACTATGACAGCAGCTTGTGAACGGGAGAGTCGTGCATGGTGAGGTTCGAGAACAAAGTGAGCCGTTGTTTCATCTGACCTAGAAGGGTAGAGCATTTTAGTCTCCCCTATAACCAAGAGTAGGTCAGGCAGCCTCCTTTTTCTCTGACCCCTTTCGAAAATCTGGCTAATCACCAGAAGCTTTTTTGTTCCTTTGTTTCTTTCTTTAAGTTTTGGGGAAGTGAAGGGAATCATTACATTGTTGAATTATTAAGTGACGTAGAATTGTGCTAGCTGCTCAAAGATAGCTTCTCAGTCTCCCAGACTCTTAGGTTCTTAATCCAGATCTCACAGGCATATGCTTAGAACAGTGGCCAGCACGTAGCTGACGCTCAGTAAGTGTCGAGTAGATGACAGCAGCATCTCGTCCCGTTCTGAGGCTGGGCATGGCCTGATTGCACAGGCCCAGATCAGACTGCCTTGGTTGCCATCCTAGTTCTTCCACTTGGTGACCTTGGGCAAGTTACTTCTAACTCTGTACCTCTGTTTCCTGATCTGTAAAACTGGCGTAACAGCCATAGCTGCCCCTCAGGGGAGGTGGTTGGAGAAGGCTCGTGTTGACCTGATGAAATGACTGCATTACAGTCAACTGGGAGAGGCGTGGGGATTCTCAAAGGCGGTCACTTGTCTGTGAGACATTGAACTCAAGGAGGTGGGTGTGGGGGCAGGGAACAGGCATCTGAGGAGGGGCCGTGTGGTCATGGCACACGTGCACTCATTCTTTCAGCAGTAGTTGTGGAGCATTTCACCTGACGGAAGTGCTGTTGAGTCCTGTGCTTCCTCGTCATTTAGCTTTGTATCTGGAGGTTATGGGGGAGACAGAGAGAGACTCGCTGTTGTGTGGTGATTAAGAGCAGGCCCTGGACTTAGGCACACCGGGTGTGAGCCCCATGTCTGCTGCAGTCTGGCTCTGTGATCTTATGCATAAGTGACCTGACTTAGCTCTCATGCCCTCATCCGTGCAGTGGGGATGATGACAGTATCACCCTCAGGAAGTCATTGGTGAGGATTATTATGTACAGTGCTTTATAAGCAAAGGAACCAGTGCATTTAGAGACAAAACATCCTGGTGTTATTTAAGGAGGGGGTGTCGGTATCATGTGCCCTTGGATTCCTGAAGGCCAGGGGTTCCAGTGAAGGTTTGGGGTTGGCTTGTGCTTTTCCCCTTTGTGATGGTGTTTGCACAGCTGGCAGGGGCCCTTCTGCCAGCACTTTACACAATTTGATGTGAGCCCCTTCACAGTTGCTTGGGTGATGGTGTTTCCTCACAGTTCCTGGTCTTCATTCCTGTGAAAGTATTGGACACCTAAAATGTCACTAGAGAATCGGGGTGACTTTATTAGTTGATTCACGTAGTCATTTGGTGACAAATATGAGATTTATAGAGCCCCTGTTAGGTGCCAAGCACTGTAGTTAGTGCTGGGAGGTATAGGTAACAAAACAAGTCACGTGGTCCGTGATCTCAAGGAATTTAGTCTAAGGGGGAAGCCGTCAGGCAGTTTTAGATCCACCAGCAAGATTCTGGGAGTTGGAGAGGAGCCACGCTTACATGTGTTATGCAGTCCCACCGTGGGACAGATGGACAGCTGTCTCTACACACCACTGCATTGTGTCTCTAAGTGCACCAATGACTGATTTTTGTTTTCAAACTAACTGTCTATATAGGAAGATTTATTTCCCCTTACGTTTGAGATTTTAAAGTTTTTTGGGGTTTTCTTTAGCTTTTAGAAATTGTTAGACTGTGAAATGACTCTCATTTGCCCAAATGGGATCCCTTCTCATCTTAAAGAGCCTATAAATGGATGGGACATAGAAGTCCCCCCTAAAGAGTATGTTCAGTGGCCAGACAGGGTTTTTATTGTGTGGAATGTGATAAACTAACTCTAAAATTCCTATGGAAGAATAATAGTCAAGTTAAGGAACGGCAGGGTGTGGGGACTTCTGGATGGATATTCTGACTGAGTATAAAGAGATGTAATTAAAGCAGGCTGGTGTTGGTACATGAAGAGATGGAGATCAATGGAACAGATTAGAGAGTTCCCAGGAGGTCACATGGGTATGTGGGAACCTCGTATGTAGTAGTGTCGTATTACAGATCGATAGGGAAAGAAAGTACTAGTGAGTCAGTAGTGTTGGGGCAATTGGCTTTCTGTATGGAAAAAGTAAAGTTAAATTCTTAACCTCAAATCCTCATAATAAATTCCAACTGGATTAAAGCCCTACTTGTGAGAAACAATTTTAGAAATGTTAGAAAAATACCTTAGAATAAGAAAGGTTTTCTTAGTAAGCATGACATAAAAATAGGAAATCATAAAACAGGTAAATCTGATTGCACCAAAACATAAAACTTCAATGTGATAAAATAATAGCTAACATTTAGTTAACCCTTAAACACCATTGCTTGAGATGCAGTTATTGTTCTTTTGCCAGTTTTACAGATAAGGAAACTGAGGCACAGAGCAGTTAAGTAACCTGCCCAGAGTTTCACAGGTAGTGAGTGGACGAACCTAGACAGTCTGTGAACCTAGGCAGTCTGATCCTGGTCCTGTGCCCGTGACCTCGCTAGCTTTTGCTTTGGGTAAGTTAAAAGACCCACCACAGAATGGAGGGAGTTGCTTCTTTCATCCATTCAGCAGATGCTGCCTGAGCGCCAGCTATGTGCTAGGCACTGTGCTCAGAGCATGGCAGCGAGCAAGTCAAATCGAGCAAGACAAATCTGTGCCCTCTGGAGCTTGTGTAATTGCAGAAAATAGGACTGACAGCGATCATAACCACAAATTTGTAAGGAACAGACAGCCTAATAGGTTGTTCCCTCTGGAATACAGCCTTACAGGCAGAGAAAAGGTAGAGAAAACGGGGCAGTCCGTGCTTTCTCACTCTAGGATTTACATACATCTAAAGAGTGTTCACAGCTCCTTAGCTGTTGGGGTTTCCGAGTAGAATGTGGCAGAGGTGTTGCTATTATTCTCTCTCTCACTCTTCCCTTCTCAGGAGTACTTCTTGCAGGCAGAGCTGACAAGTAATGTTTTAAAAACAGGAGTGGTCCGCTGCTGTGTAGGGCAGTGCAGCAACGCCATCGCCGTGGACACCATGCTCACCATGAAGAAGCTCCCCATCACTTACGTACGTGGTCTTGGTGGCCGTGTTTGCTTTCTGTAGAATTTAATTCCATCGTTTTTGTTCTATTGCATGTGAGCTGTGCTTATCTGTGGGTGAGGGAGATAAAAGAGAAATTTGTATCATCCTCATCAGGGACTTTTCATCTGTAAGGCACAAGAGATGTAATTGAGTCAGGGTGTGTGGCATAGTCTAGGAGATTGGGTATGACCAACACTCAGAGAAGTGTTTACCTGGAGAGCATGGTTCAGGTTTTCTTGGCTCTTCATTCCTGCCTTGGTAAATTCTGGTTTCTGCTCTAAGGGAATTTAATAGAGTTGAGACTATCCTAGATGATTGTGCTCTGGGACGTATGACTTCCAGAGGTTCACACAGTCTGAAAACATCAGAATCGTAATGCATAGTCCCTTGGCAGCACTGACAGCAGTCAACACTTCATGGTGGAAGATCCCTGTTCTTTGATTGTTCCCCTTACCTCTTTTTCTTACCCCTCAATGCAGAGCAACAGGAAGGAAAACAAGGGTGGCTACCTCTGCCACTCCTGTGCAGAGCAGCGCATCGGGCCCCTGGCCTTCTTGACTGCCTCCCCCGAGCAGGTGCACTCCATGGAACGCACCATCGAGAACATCGTGCTGCCCAGACATGAAGCTCTGCTTTTCCTTGTCTTCTGAAAGCCGAGAGGAGCGTTCTCCACAGTACAGAATGCCTTGTGTGGACCACAGTTACTTGAACAAAGCCAGTGTGGGGTAGGGTTCTCACTGACCTGAGACTCTGAATTCCCTCTCAGAACGTTTTTTGAGGAAGACGAAGCCAACCAGAGTTGGACCTGCCATTTCTCCATTCCCTCTAGGTAGCCAGTTTCCACTGCCCCTCCTCCATGTGCGTCAGGCTGGGGACATGGGGGATGTTCTTTTGATAAAAAAACATTTTATGTATTTAAACTTTTATTACCAGGTTTCAATTAAACAGGCATCGTAGCGCTGGCATACCACTGTGTGACGCCTGCCTTCAGCCTGGTTGTTTTTCAGCTTTCTCCAACTTTCTCTTTTTTTGCTCCCTCTTTTCAACAGCTCTGTCACTGTTCACATGATACACCAAGCAGAGTATGAGACATAATGTCCAGAGTGACAACGGACGCGTCAAAAATGAGATTTTCATGCTGTGGGGAGTCACACGTGTATAAGGCATAGTGTGTGCCTTTGTTGTTTTGGAGTTCACAGTTTAAACAGGGAGGCAGCGTAATACATAAACAGACAAGTGCAGAGTGGCAGTAGCTAGACTTGTCGTGTTTCGCACAGGTAGCAGTGAAGATCAGAAATACTTGAGAGGGAACTGGAGTTGTCCAGCTGCCATAGGGGGAGGCTGGAGTAGGTAGAGATGGAAAGTTGGTACCCAGTTCAGTGGCTGGGGATGCTCGGTGAATGGTGTGATAAAGCTATTCTTATAGAAACCAGTGAAAAAACTCACATCGCTTAGATGTACGTGGATCTGGTACTTTTACATTTTTGCCATGCAGCACTTCAGGGATGCAGATAGCAGGTGGGGGAGTTGGCACAGCATTGCCCAGAGAGCTCACCTCATCTAGTCTCTGAGGCCAGTCCAGCGAAGTCCAAGAGCAGACCTCACAGCCCCAGTTGTTGCAGTCCCCTAACCTCTCCTGCATCAGGCCTCTAGTGGAGCTTAGAGAACAGGCTGGTGAGTAAAGCAAGGGTGCTGTTAGATCGGGCCAGAGGTGCTTGGATGGGTGAATGCCAAGGTAATGTTGGAGATGGAGGAAAATTCACAGAGTTGGACCTGACAACAGGTGGGGTACTTTAATGAAAGAGGGACAAGGCCACTTCATCTGCTTCACCGGTGTTCCTGCCTGGCCTCAGTCAGTGCTTATGGATAACTCGGAATAAAAGAGCAAGTGAAAGGAAATTTCTTGAATTTGGATTGGTCACAGTATTCGGTGTGCTTTCACAGAGGGATTTGGGAGAGGGGTGGCGAGAGAGGGCTCATACACACACGCTTTCTGGAAATCAAGTCTCACCAACCTGAGAGGAAGCAACTTCTTTATTGGAGGAGAAGTCCTGAACTCACTGAGCCTTCACTGAGCACCTGTTGTGTGGCAGGTGCCATGTGAGTGGGTATATGGAATTGAAACGTGGTTCCTGACTCACGGAGATGGTGATAAGAAGTGTGGTTGTAGTTTGAGGTGAGGAGTGTTTGGAGAGAGGGCTGCACGAGTGCTCTGGGGTGGGAGGGCCGTCTTTATCAGAGTGGAGGTCTGAGGGCTGCCCAGAGTGGGGGGTGCTAGAGCTGTGTCTAATAACAGGACAAGCAGTTAGCTAGCTATTAATCAGTGAAAGAATATTCTAGAAGAAGGAACACTGTGAAGGACCAAAAGGACGTGTGTGGAAATGGCACTACCAGAGCAAAACGTCAGTACTGATATTTTGGTACTTATTTTGAAAAATAACGGAAACTAGGAATTAGTACTAGTATTTCATTTTTTAAGTGTTAAGAATTTTTTAAAAATTACTAAACTAAATATTGGGTATTTCAAATAGAAAAACAATTTTTAAATACCCAGTAAAAATATAAATTGTAAAAATGAGTGTTAAATATCCATTATCATTTTATTTTTTTATTTATTTTTTTGTGTGTGAGGAAGATCGGCCCTGAGCTAACATCCAATGCTAATCCTCCTCTTTTTTGCTGAGGAAGATTGGCCCTGAGCTAACATCCATGCCCATCTTCCTCTACTTTATGTGGGACGCCACCACAGCATGGCTTGACAAGAGGTTCATTGGTGTGCACCCAGGATCCAAACCCGTGAACCCTGGGCAGCCGAAGTGGAGCTCGCGCACTTAACCGCTTGCGCCACTGGGCCGGGCCCTCCATTATCATTTTAATTAAGTGATTAGATGAGAAGAATAAGAGCGTTTCTCAAAAATATAAACTAAAGACTACATGAAAATGAAAATCTATTAGATCTTTTTGAAAGTATAGTCTTTAAAATAAGAGGCTTCCATGATTTCATTTAGCTGTGAATGTATTTTTGTGCAAGATTTTCTGTAGAAGTTTGTTTTTACCACATAAATTGGGAGAAAAATAAGGAAAATAACTATATGCTAGTTTCAGATATTTTTCTTCGGTTCAGTAATTTTTGAATAATCCCTCTTATTTGATAACTTAGAGGAGATCTTTTTAAATTCATTTAAGAATCTGCAATCTATTGATTGCAAGTTCTAGTTTTTTGTTTCAAAGAAAGCATTTCTGATTCGTCTCTGTCTTCTTTTTTTTGTTTTAGAATTTTTTTTTTTTTAATTAATTTATTTTTCCCCCAAAGCCCCGGTAGATAGTTGTATGTCATAGTTGCAGATCCTTCTAGTTGCTGTATGTGGGACACGGCCTCAGCATGGCCGGAGAAGTGGTGTGTCGGTGCGCGCCCGGGATCCAAACCCGGGCCACCAGCAGCGGAGGGCACGCACTTAACTGCTAAGCCACGGGGCCGGCCCTGTCTCCGTCTTCTTTGATTTTATCCTGTATATAGAGGTTCTGATACAGAGTTACCCATATAAAAATAAATGCTGTTATATCATATTCCATTTGTTTAGAAAGTATTGAAATAAAATAAAAATTATTCTTGCAATAGAAGCGTTAAAATACCATAGTGTATTGTAGAGTATGCATTAGTTTGTCCTTTCACATAATTATTCTCAAGACGTATTTCAGATTTTAGATTTTTTTTTTAAATAATGAGGCGATGATATTAGACCAACCTAAAACATTGGTATATAGACATTTAAAAATATCACAGAATACCAGCAACCGAAATTGCTATCACTAAGGTATGAGACTGTGGAAAATGCCTGGGGACAGAAGATGTGTACATGACTAGAGTATGTGTACAGTGGTAGCGGGCCAGTGAGGAGCCAGGTAACAAAGGGCCCTAAACACTAGGACAAGGAATTGAGCAGTATTCTGAAAAATTATAAGCAATCATGGAAAAATTTTAAGACATCAGATTTTCTTTTTAGGAAGAACATTTCAGTTGTAGATTGGAGGATGTTTTAAGAAGGTAGATAAGTTAAGAGGCTAAGAGTTGTAACCTCATCAAGAAATGACAGCTGATGGGCTGGACCGAGGCAATTGGAGTGGGACTGGTGAGGAGGCGATGGGTACATAGGTTAGTGGTTCTGAAAGTGTGGTCCCCAGATGAGCAGCATCCACATCACCTGGGAACTTGATAGAAATGTAAATTCTTGGTCCTCACCCCAGATCTACTGGATCAGAAACTGAGATCGAGGCCCAGCAATTGGTATTTCACTAGCCCTACAAGTGATTCTGATGCACAGTAAATTCTGAGAACTTCTGCTTTGAGATTAAGAGGTGAAATCAGTAGGACTTAGAGAATGTTAGATGGGGATGGTGAGTCAGTGATAGGAATCTCAGTAGGACCTCTGGTTTCCTGGCTTGTTCTTCAGAGTAGATGAGGGTACCCTTCACTCAGACAGAAAACAGAACATGTAGTAGGTTTGTGTAAACATAATGATGAATTTGGTTTTCAACATGTTAAATTTGGGGTGCTTATGAGAAATCCATGTAGAATTGTCCAGGAGGCTGCTGAGGAAACTTCAGCCAATTGCTTTAGGCTGGAAATAGAGGTTTTAGATAGAGTTGTCAGTTTGTAAGAGGTAGTTAAGGTAGTTCAGTTGATGGGCTTATTCCAGCATAGTGTCAAGAATGGAAAGAGTTGAGGGCCGGCCCCGTGGCTTAGCGGTTAAGTGCACGCACTCCGCCGCTGGCGGCCCGGGTTCGGATCCTGGGCGCACACCAACACACTGCTTCTCTGGCCATGCTGAGGCCGCGTCCCACATACAGCAACTAGAAGGATGTGCAGCTATGACACAACTATCCACTGGGGCTTTGGGGGGAAATAAATAAGTAATAAAATCTTTAAAAAAAAAACGAATGGAAAGAGTTGAGGTCTAAGAAGCAAGTCCGAGGAACACCAGGCTTGGGATAAAAAAGGCCAAGGATTTTGTAAAGCAAGTGACAACTGATTCCAAAAGATAGAGTTGCTACTGAATTAAGAGAGGAAGGTGGTCTTCAGCATCCAGTGCTGTAGAGACACCAAGTAAAATACGGGTGGAGAGGTGTCCCTCTAACTGGCTGTCTGCAAGTCAGTGGCGACACAGCATGGGCTTCAGTGAGGCCAGAAGGCAGGCTGCACCAGGCTAAACTGTGAGTGGGGAACTTCAGGTAGTTTGATGGACTAAACCTATGTTTGGTTGCTTCCTGAAACCATACTAAAATGACAATAAAAGGATTTTTTTTTAAAGCATAAACGTTTAAGGGCAAAGAAAATAGAAAGATGACAGAAAATTTTGGAAGTTGGAAAGCAGGTAAATAAGTGATAATTGACTTAGCTCACCTGAGAAAACTGAATCCTAAGCCCAAGAACTCTCAAAAGATGTGGGCATTGATGGCACTAGGTACTACTGGAAGTAGGGTGTAAAGGTGTAAGAAACAGGAAGATGGGTAGAGATTTTGTTTAAAAACCAGTGAAATCCTCAGATATCCTTTCCTATTCTGTGTAACTGGGCAACTTCTCATCCTCAACCTAGCAGAAGACTGGAGGTTTAATCTCTGGAAAGAATAAAACAGAGGAACATCTCATGTAAGAGACTAGGCACAGCTGAGGGCAGGGGCCATACTAAAAACAAGGCAACGGTCTCAGCCAGCTCGGGCTGCTGTGACAGAACACCACAGCCTGGGCGGGTAGCAAACAACAGACGTGTCTCTCACAGTTCTGGAGGCCGGAAGCCCAAGAAGAAGGCTCAGGCAGAGTCGGTGTCTGGTGAGGGCCCACTGCCTGCTTCGTAGACGGTGTCTCCTCCTCAGAGGAGACTGAGGTGAGACACCACCTCAATCACGTGGTGGAAGAGGCAAGGGGCTGTCTGGAGTCTCTTTAATAAGGACACTAATTCTATTCATGGG